TCTTCAAATTGTCTGTTATGGAATTGCAGAGATACAGACATGATGTTGAAGAACACTTCACAAGGAAGCTTCTCTAATATTAACTGGAGCAGCAGCAGAACTCTGTTCCCAGGCAAACACAAATTAGGAATGTGCATCATCAATCCAAGTGTAATTTTCTGTCTCACTCCTCCCTCCAAAAATGAAACATAAATTTTATATAGCATTTCACCTTCCATCTCCAAGGGTGACGGTCATCAGAAATCAGAGAGCTTGATTCTTTCAAACTAGTACTACAGACCTTAAAGGAAGAAAGAGAGAGAAGCAGGAAGATGGGATAGTCAGAGAATAGAAGCAGGATGTGCCAAGACAAAAATCCTTTACACAGGGACTAGGGAAAAGCACTATGGGAAAGTCACCTCTCAACAAAACATTTTTTTTACAGTCAGTAAGTTAGATGATGTTATGTCTCACATTGGACATGCACATTACTTACAGGGAGATCAGGGTACACAGCAAAATTCTACAATAAATGCTGTGTAGTTCCATACTGCTCGTTTTTTAGCAACTTACAAGTTTTCAGTATTATAATGAATGCAATAATGTTTTCTTCCTTTACTTTCTCACCAATACAGTCTTAAAACACATACAGAACTTTCAGAAAAGCAACCATAACAGAAATAGTAGCACAATGTATATTGGAGAAGAGTACACAGGATAGTGGCATAACATTATGTTCCTTTAAAGCTACATTTACTGAGCTGGTTAATCAGTTAAGAGGATTATTAATTTTGTATGTTAAAAAACACTGGTAAAATGTCCTTACTTGAAATTCTTGAGCATTTGAATTGTGCAGACTTTTGCTCACCTGATTAATAGGTAGAAAAGGATGAAATTTATGGAGAGCAGGTATAACAGGAGAGTAAGTAGAAGCATATACAGGTTCCTATGACAAGGACAGAAGCAGAGCAAAGGAATTAGAAAAGAACTGGACTACCAGAAATGGAAATGGGGGAGAAGTAATTCCTCTTTCCCTTATTTCTTACTAAGTTTTTGATCTAGAAATGTTTTCACTGTTGGAAAGCAGAGATCAAAAATGCTGTCATAATGCAACAGCATGCTTACCAAAGCCATTTCATGCAGGAATTATCCAAGTTAGTAACAATATCACTACAACCCAACACAGAACAAAACAGCACAGCTGGAAGACACACTTTTTGTATGCTGATAATTTTTATATGTCTCTGTTTTCATGCACCATTAAATTGATGAACCATGTCAACCACAATGTGAATAATTCTGCTGCAAGTTTAATCAGACCCTGCTAAACAGCAAATCATCTATTCTCTGGATGAAAGGAAAGAATTCTTGCTGAAACTGGGAGACTCAAAAGCCATCTGGAAAGATTTCCTAAGCCCAGGGTACTCAGTGAAGGTGAGTTCACCATTCCAAACACAGCCTACAAATAAACCCTACCCCAGAGCTGGGCTTACCCAAAGCTGATTAGACATGGCTTTATCAGCTTTAATTCTTCTCCCTTTCTGTAGGTTAAAGCAAATGGGGAACATGGCACAGTGGATGGATAAATGCAGCTTATTAGAGTGGCTCAAAATGCAGCCTAATAATGAGTTTCAGCTTTGATGAGAATGTGATACAAGCACTTGGTGGATGCCATATATGAACTGAATAAAACTCTTACCACAGCAAAAACCTAATATTTTAGTGTCTAAAAGTCACTTTTCAAGGGCTTACCCTCTCTAAGATTTTTACACACTTCATCTCTGAGTAATTTTGAAATGACTGCTCAGCCCTAGCCTTTAACACCAGTGCTGAGCTGCAATTTAAACATAATGTAAGAATTAAGTGTTTCAAATGTCAGTCACTGCTTAAATGCAACTGCAATGCAGCTGGTAATCAAATTAATCAGGGACTCAGTTAAAAATGGTTCACTATAAACCAGAAATTGTTATTCCAGTAAATCTTCCTATTTTGATATTATGGAAAGATTTTGAAATTAATTAATTTTTCTACTCATGAAGAAATCCAACAAACTGCAAGTGTTCCATCCAGCCTAAGATGATGAAAACAAAGATACTAAATCCAAAATATTTTTCCTAAATAAAAGAGATTTTTTTCCAGTAAGACATTCATCCAGCAAGACAGTTGTTTCCCTGATGTTAGAGCTATTCTTTGAATTGTCCAAATATGTTTTACCATATATGTAAATAATTTAAGAAGCCTCACAGCTTCCAAAAATTTTTCCTCCTGTGTGCAGCAATCATCAAAACAGATGCTGGACCTCCAAGTAAATCTCAGCTTCCCCCCTCATCTGTATCTGCTTGTGTCAATTCCTTAGTCTCTCTTTTTCTTTCCTGTTTAAGGTTGCTCTGTCAGCTTTTCCATGAATTTTATGGTGTTTTTCTACAGTTTAGTCTACACACAAATGACTGTAACACATTTGGATAAATATTTCACCATGTAGACACCACAAAGAAGCATTCTGACTAGAAGTGATCGAACAGCACTATTTAATGTAGCTATTTTGTTAAGAGTATGAATCTTTCCACTTTTGTTTGTATGAAATCTAAATGTACTCTAATAACTTCTAATTTCTGCAGCTATGCTTCAATAATCAAATCTCCAGAATAATTTAGGTAACCTTTTAAAAGAGAGACACACAAAAAACCCCCTAAAAAGGTGCCTGACTACATTAATAGGAGCACCACACTGCAACTGAAAACATCAGGCATTGTTTTGAAGCAGCAGGGCATGACAGAAGTTTACACACCCTTGCTGGTTATGCCATGGTGTTGATGACTGACATCTTGTTGATGACTGCCATGTGTGGAAATTGTCTAACTAGCTCAAAGTTCAGTTATCACTACAATTCCTGCATTTTTACTGTAATCCAGCAACAGAAAACACTTAAGATTCTCAAGTACAGCAGAGTCTCAAAATTCTACAAATAGACTTCAATAGCACAGTGCTTCATGGTCCTCAAAGGATAACAGCCACCACACTGATTGCTTATCAAAACCAGTACTTCTAGATTTAAGGGCAGCTGACATGGTGTCTTGTAAGTAGAGTGCCCTCAGTAAGAGTTTACGTATTTTTCATGTATCACATGAGAATCAGCATCCCAAACATCACTATAGTTCATGGAATTGTGTATCTTACACACCCAAGTTTTCATCCATAGGCAGACATGAAAATCCTTTGATTTAGGCTCTAAATAGCCAAGAGCTAACATGAACTATCAGAGTGGGTGACCCAGTGTCACAGAAACTTCCCTTGCTAGCACTGTCACTTCAAAGCTTGTATCCCTCCAGCACTTCATGCTCCCTTACTTGCTTTAAAAGCCTGACTGTGCTTGCTGCACATGGTAACACAGCAGGGAGGGTATGGGTGCTGAGAGGTGAGGACAGAGAACAAAGGGTTTGTCTCTGCCTAAATCTTGGCAGCTGTTTAAAGCTTTTTCTCAACCCCACTGTCTTTAGCTGGAGTACATTTGTTATCTGATCTCAACAGTTGTAATTTTGGAGACTAGCCTGTTAAAAATGTGACCACAATTTTGCTTTCCTCCCTGGAATTATTTTTGCTTTAGGATGTCTTTCAAACTAGCAGCTGGATTTTTGAACAAGTCCACAGGGCAAAACCAAAACAAACCCCATAAACCAAACTGCCAAAATCAGCTTTATTCTTTTCTGTCCAGTTAACATGACTGATGACTTACATGTTCAGGCACAGATTTATCCTCAATAATGATAAACTGTGTCCTTACTTGTAATGCACTGATGGAACAGGAGACTTTTTGTTACTGTTTGCTTATACTATTTAGTAGAAGTAAACAACTAAATAATTGGATCCAAAGATTACCATCCCCACTAGCAAATTTTGTAACACAAATTTTATTTTCACCTGTCCTCTGTGAAGTACTCCTACAGAAATTAAAGGCTTTTGAGACAGCCTATTTCATCTGACTGAGAAGGGAAACAAGTCTCCATTGGTCCTGTACTTTGAGCCAGGGGACAGTCCATTTTGAAGCAAATCTCCCAGTCATCCTCACTTTCTGCACTTTGGCTCACACTGCAGACTGCACCGACTTTTGCATGAAACCAAGCCCTGAAGTGCACTCCAAGATCCCCTTGTAGCACTACTGCTGCTAAAGACAGTCAGGACACACGTCCAACCTAAATTTAGTCTGAAACAAAATTTCACTGAACAAAAACAAGCAAGTATGGCACAGGTAGCACATCCTCAGAGGTAATTATTATTACCTCTGTATTGAGGTAATTTTATATATATATATATAGATATAAGATCTGCTCTTGCTAGGCAACCTAATTTACTCATGTATAGACATAATCAGAGTGTGCTAACAATATGGATCTCCCTTTCCTCCACACCTTTCTACCCATCTCCCTCTCCATTCACTACCTGTTGTAAGACAGATAAAATCTTGGTCCTGCCACTTCTGGCTATTCACAAAGATCATGCAAGATAACCAAAAGCCAAATGGCTCATGAATCTCTAGTACCTGCATTACCTCAGTAGCTCTAGGATCCAAAATTACCAGTTAAAAACCCAGTGTATGCACTGAGATAACACAGTGTTAAGAATGTGACATTTTTACAAACTCACTCATACATAAGAAAACATCAGAACTAAGTATTAAGGCCATTTCAATGTGGGGGCGTGGAAGGGGAGAGGGAAGAGGGGCAGGAGAAAGGGCTTAAATCATTATACCTGTACATGCTGCAGAAGCCTTACAGACCCACTTACTAGTTCATTGTCTTCTGATGTGAAGACACTGTAAGCACTATTACACATCCCAGGACAGTGGAGACCTCCTCATCAAATAATCCCTCACACTGGGAGAATTGGTTTTTAAACAAGCCTGACAACAAGAGGAGCAGCAGGAGCTAGCAGCTAATATTAGGCATGCCTGTCTACTTGGATGCATCTTCAAAAAGCAGAAGCATTTCAAGCAAGATGTTTTTCCCAAATAGGGACAGAGTTACCTTCTTCAACAGCTGCTCAACCTCTTGCATCTGCGCACTGCGATCAGCGACGGCCACTTTTGCATACTCCTGCTTTTTGCTGAGCCTGCTCTTCCAATCTTCTTCACCACTCTTCTTCAGCAATGCCAACCTACAAGGAAAAGCATGCCAACAGGCAGCTTCAAACACTGTCCTTCCCATTATCCTCAAAAGATAACCTCATTGTTTCACTAATGCTGCAGTCAAGATAATCTGAAATTAGGTTTTCTAGTATTAACTAAGTTATTTACATTTTATACACATATACAAAGCTCACAAACAAACACCAAGCCTTATACTGTACATGTTGAATGGCAATCATCTGTCAAAACACAGACATCCAGACCTGACACAGAAACTCCAGTTAATTTGTATCATCAGTGGAAATTGCCAATACAGTCAAGGGAGACCAAGGTACAACACAGATCCTCCTAAAGTAGGTGTATGAAAAGGTCAGATTAATAACTGCTATTTTCCCTCCACTCTGTCACTAAGGCACAGCAAGTGAGTAGCTTGGCTATGGATACTTATCCTGTAGATGTCCAAAGTTAAGAATACGTATCCTACCTTTGGTCTTCATTGTACTCATTAAAAAATATTCTTAAAATTATTTTCTTTAAACCCCAAGAAGAAAGAGGTCTGTTCAGCAGGCACACACCAATTAGGTCTCATCAGGTACATCAAAGGACAACTCTGCAGTTCCTGCTTTCACTCCAACTCCAGGGGCTGAGGTTACTTGTCAGACTCCCTGGGACCACTTTGTATTCCCTTGCTTAGCCCAGGCATTGCTGTGACACAAATCAGCAGCACCAATGCACTAATAACCTGGTGCTAACTACCCTGCAGCTGTGAAATCTATCAGCAACATTCAATTGTTTAAAGGAGGTCTTATATTTAAAATGTGGATTACCATTGATCTCAGTAAGTGGGATCTTTTCATAGTGCTGTTTCCTAACCTTGAGCAAAATTCTGAATATAGTACAAAGTGCTGACTGGCTGCAGTGGGGACAACATGTAGATTAGTTTTGCTAGAATTCTATTTGTCCATACAAACCCTGAGGTTACTACTTTTGGGGACAGGGGAAGTCAGTAAGGAATATGAGGTCTATACAGGCATGATGATCTTCAGTTTACCTTCCTCGGAAATCAACATTTATATGAGTCTTCTACCCTTCAGAAATCATTCTTAGTAATCCATAAAATGTGTATCTGCAGCACTTTTGCAAACAGTTGCATTGATCTACTAAATATTTTTTTAGTTTAATTAAGTCTTATGACATACTGCTCTCAAATCTACAGCATTTCAGTAAGAATTATACAAAAGCCTTAACCCTATTAATGTTTGAACAGGTTGAGTAGTTAAAACCTATTCTGACCACAAAGTATGAAAATTCTTTTTCAGAGATGTGATTACTGTTATCCTCACAGCAAATGTCTTCTGGAAACTCTGAGGAGAAGGAAAGGGTAGAACCAAAGAGGTCTAGAAGCCAGAAGTCAAGTTTCAGGCAGCTGCCTCCTGCAAAAATCCAGGGGGTTCAGCCATGCTACTGACCTATTTGGGGATGATCAATTGGGCCCAAGACAGTCACTTAAGAAAAACTAAGAATGCAGAAAACAGTAAATCTACAGAAAACAATGGCAGTAAGAATGTTAGTATTCAAGAAAGCAGTTATTTCCTCTCTTCCTGCCCAGGCAGGCAGTGCTGGCAGGCTTCACAGTGTCTGGTTGCTTCATACCTCACAGCACAGGATGAGTAGGGGTGAGAAGGACTCCCAATAAGGAGCTGAGGTCATGGTCATGGTTTGCAGAAAGGACACAAGATTTCACTGCCCAGAACTAATCTTCTGGAGTGCATCCATGCATGTGTAAAACTGTGGAGGAGACCAAGATGGGACTGAATTGCCACCATGCAATGAGTTATCTTCAGTAGCTATGTTCTCTCAAGTCAGTTTTGCTTAGAAATGATCTGTGATAATTGAAGCTGGAAGGCATATTGGTCAGCTTTGGTCTAAGCTGGGTTTGTTTTTAAAAATGTTTTTAAAAATCTAGTCAGCATAGCAGGCAGGGGAAAAAAAGTGGGTTTTTTTGTTTCTTGGTTTTTGGGCTTTTTTAAGCTAACATTATCACAGGGTATTTACTCTAGACCTTTGACCCAAGCAGCCTGCTTGATCAGGGAGAGAAAAAAACTATAATTCTAAGAATACTTCTGTGTCTTCGGAGACTTTGTTTTCTTCTCTGCCATGAGGATGGTTTCATAGCAGCCCTCCATGCTTCAGTGGTATATGTAATGAAAGAACTGACTCCTACAAGTGAGAACACACATTTGCCTGTTTTGAGCAATGAAATTACCACTTAAAAGAAACATGTATGCTCTGTATGCCAATAGAACCTTCACTGCTGTGTAAAACCTAAAGCCACGCATTTCTTTTGAACAATGGAAGTGGCAGTAAAGTCAGAGTGCCCTGACTCAGCAACAGCTGAATGGAGGACACCCTTTTGGATGAATAAAGATGCAAGAACTACTGAATTGGCTCCTAAAAGTAAGCCCACAAGCTCAGCAGTACAGAAAAGCTGATTCTTTGGAAAGTCTTAGAAAATAAAGCAAATATTAGGTCTAACCCTTAGATTTGTTTAAGGCCTGCTGCTACTAGTTTCATTGAATACCTCTAGTTTTCCAGTTTTTATAAATAATGAATAATCATTAATTAGTCACTTTCACAGTGTAGACACACTACTTTTTCCTCCGAAAGTTCCTTTTCCAATATGAAGAAAATAAATTCTACTCTTTTTTTGAAAGAAAAAGCTTTTAGTGTGTCTGCCCATCTTTGACAGCTTGCTCTGCATCCTTCTTTCACCTGCTACTCAGATAGACTGTGTGACATCAAGACAGAATGATCCTCATCCCAGAGGTGTCAGGGTGGCCTGAAGGCAAAAGCTTTCAGAGCTGAAGGCAAAATGCTGGATAGTGAATACTGAAGGAAAACAGAAATGAGATCTGAAGAATGGTTTTGCCTAAACAAAGAGAGTTGCATGAAAGGCCTTGGCAAAAATCCTGGCAAAAAATGTCCAAAATGACACATCTTTCTTCTGTGGCAATATTTTAGTATCTTAGTTGCTAGTTGTCTCCTTGAGCTAGAATAAACTGGACATAGGCTTGGTTTTCACATCTTCTCCCTTGGCTGAACTTGACCAGCTCTTTTTGGATAAATCATAAATCCTGGAGAGCAATATGAGATATATAACTACAGAAAGGAAGTTGACTGTTAAAAGAGTGCATAAATTCAGTATAGTGGGAACCAGACTATGTAAGAAAGTATTGCTCAGGCTTCCATACATCAAAAAAGGTTGAAAACTAAGTTTAGGCTAGATTTTTCCTGAGAAAGTGAGAATGTTGGTAAGAGGTTCACCAGAAATTAATCAGATGTAGCTTTCTAAAATGGTGATCATGGCATGCAGCTGACTTCTACAGTGGAGCTGACAGGATGGCCTTTGGTCTCAATAAATGCACAGAGACAGGAGAAGAGAGTATAGGTGTCTTTCCTCCTTAAAAAATAATGATTTTCATTCTTCTATATAATATAGGCAATTCTGAAAATGCCAGCCATACATTCACTCTAGGAGGATAGTATTAGTTTAGTGAAGCAAGTCTTTGTGGAAAATCACTTTCATCCAGACCAGCATTCATGCAGCCTGCCCAAATACTATTTCATGTGTGGAAAAGTTGTTCTTCCATAAGGTGAAAGAATGTCTGACACAGCCAGAAAAATACACTGGATGGGAAGATGAAGTTAGTGAATGTAAAAGGAAAAAGAAATCCAAGTGTAATAGTCAATCTTTAGCAGAAATGTTCTTTGATGTTTATGAATACTTGGCATGAACTGCAGCCAAGCAAAAGAAACTTAGTGGTTGTAGTCTTTTAATTCTGGGACAAGAAGTAGACTACTGTGGTATTTTGGAAGGCTGAAACATTTTGATAGGAGCTCAGTCATTTACAGATGTTTGTGGAATCAGGGTATACAAAATCCTGACAAGACAGCAGGTATTTCCTTTTGGCAGCTCTGGGACTGAGTACACAGTCTTGGAGTCCTAACAAAAGTGGTTCCTGATTGTGTGACTGACAGGCTTCAGTTCCTCAAGAGATCAACTCAGCTGAGGCATTGAAGTTAGGACTGGAACAGCTACTAAAACTTGGATCTTCCCTCCAACCTCTTTCTCTCCACCAGGATCAGGGATGGTAGATCATTTACCACCTATAAACCAGAAGTTATTCATCTTAAACCTCATCTGCCAAGACAACTGACATATTTACACGAGGGGATAGGGAAGGGGGATGAAAGTTGCTTTAAACAAAACAACAGTAAACTGAAAATGTAAGTACAGCCTTCAGAAAGGGCACTAAGAGTGCACAGCTGCTATAGCTGCCTCTGCACCCCCTTGTGTAAAGGGGTTGACAGGGAGTGGGGATGCTTGTAAATGAAAACGACTCACATACCTCCTAGAAACACATGAATTTGAGAAACAAACTTTGGAATTACATTTAAAAGAAAAAAAAAAGGTTCAGAATGCCTAATATCACACTCCCCTCATTAAGTTGAGGGAATACTTTTACACAGTGAACATTTAATCAGGCAGTTATTTTCATTAACTGGTTCTGCTTTCATGCAGAAAAACTGAGGCAAAGATAGGCTAAATAGTCATAATTCACTCACTGGGCTGCTACCAATTTGTGACTGAGTTTATACTCCTAAAGTTTTAACTAAGTTAGGAAAACTTTTACAAGTACTACAGCAGCTATTGGCACTTCAATCCTGAACTCCCACTCTCTGCACAAGTGCTGGACTTCACATTTTTCTTCAGATCAGAATGAACTTGGGTTGGAAAAAGTATTTCTAGTACTCCTATAAACCTGTCCAACTTACTATCCTTTTAAAATCCCTACAGTAAGTTCCTAGAAGTCAAAATGGCTACCAGGTACTTCTGGAGTAGTGGGGCAATATCAGAGTCTATCTGTGATTCCCTCTAATCACCTTATTTAAGGGACTCCTGCAGACCAAGAAGAAATGGTTATTAAAATAAACCAGGATCACATTATACCTGTTGTATAACTGAAAGCAGAACCTGGAGAAGTATATTGAGTATATAAGTGTAATTAGAACATGTATATTTTACAACTTTAATTTTCTGAAATATTCATTGATTATTCAGGTGGCTCTTTCAAAATCAGGTTATTATGTTCTCTTGAATGGTAATTCTCATTCACCATCATCTGCTTTATAAGCATGTCAGGCAGATTAGCTGCGTGTTTCTGCTGTTAGTAATAATAAAGCCTAGTAATCACTACTTAGCTTTTTTAGAAACAGTTTTAAAGCTTTCTATACCATCATCAATATAATAACTATATTTATAGGGATCATTAAAAAAGAAAGAGAAACTTAAGTACCTTTCCTTAATTGACATAGTTTTGCTGGCATTATCGAGGACATCCTCAGCTGTTTGTGCTTTGCTCTCTCCCATGGAAAACATCTCACAGGAATTCTTATAAAATTTGCCTTCCAATTGTTCAGAGAGCTCCTGCAGTCTACAGGATGCTGCAGCTGCTGTTTGTGAAACTGTCCTCATGGCTGATGTGCTGGTGAGTTCAGAAGAAGGTTCAGCGTGGTCTGCCCATTCAAAAGAGTAGAGCTGAATTAGTTCTATTTTTAAAGACACTTTACATTACTAACACTGAAGAAGCAAATCTGTATTTTAAACATTCACATCACATACTATTCTAACAGGGAGAAACTTCAGGCTGAGCCAGAGCACAAAGATTAATTGTGCAGCATTACTTGCTGCCATTTGTGACTGATGCTCACAAGAAGCCACAGAACATCCTGTGCAATACACAATTCTGAACTTCACATGGGTGAGGCACAAACTGCTGCTCCCCTCATCACACCAACAGGAAAAGGAACAGATGAAAGTGACAGGGAACAAAGAGCAGGGGAAGAGAAGCAGACAAAATTGAAACAAGAAAATTAACTATTTGGTAAAGCAGTTTAATGCTTGAGTAGCATACTAGGACATTTAATAGCTTAATAGAGGAATTATTTTCTAGGAGGGTGTTGGGGGCTCATTTGGGTCTGTTTTTTCAAGCAGCAATTAAACCATAGGAAAAAACTGCCTTGAAGAAAGATAAATGCACTATTACAGTTATCCTTAAAGAAATATAAGTGATCTTCATTTTTCTTTTTGAAATGTTACAAGCACAACACCCCTCTGATATATGACTGCTCCTATTATGTCCCAGTCTCCATCTCCCCTGCAGTCATCAAAGGCTAATTGGACAGAATGGATACTGCTTTAGAGGAATACAGGCAGAACTGTACTTTCCTCTCTATGCCTGTGTGAAGACCATTAAATTCAAAATACATTAACTTCACAGGATGAACACAAAAATGCTTTTAGTGCTACAGGATAGTGTGATGCTGTCAACTATCACAATAAAACAGAAAAGGAACACAACATCCTTCTAAATTCAGCAGAATAGAAGGACTTACGAAATGACCAAATTCACAGTTTATTTCCTAAGTACTTTATTTAAAGATAGGCAAGTTTATTTTTTAAGTTTAAATTATGTTGTGCACATAAAAATGTAATTGCTCTGAGAATTTCCTGGTTTGTATTTCATCACCACATCAAAGAGAAAATAATACTAGTTTTGCAAAATTAATTATCTTAAAATTATCCACTCCTAGTTATGTATGCATTATGTAGGTAATTCATAACTCTATATGCACAATAAGGCAAAAATTAAGGGCAGATAATTAACTCAAAGCAGCAAGTTTAGTTTGTTCTGAATTTTGGAGGGCAGGAGAAAGTGCAAAACCAGAAAGAATCAATCTTAGCTTCAGCATATAATACCACTTCTTTCAAAGTAAATAAATCTGAATAAAACTGAGCCATCTTTAAAGACTGAAAAAAAGGAAAAAAAAACCAAAAACAAACCCCTCTATTTATAAAACTTAACACTTCACAGATATTTCTGTACTTCTAAGCAGTGTTAGAAAAAGGAAACATAACCAGCCTTGATAAAGCTTGAAACACCATTTGCTGAATGAGACCACACCAACAGCAAGTAATTACCACATCTCTTTGCCAAGTCTTGCTTTTCATAACACTTTCCAAATCTACCTTTTCTTCAAAGGACTGGCCTTTTGTGTCTTCCCATTTACCTTGAATGCCAGTATCGATTTCCTTCTGCTCCAGAGGCTGAAAAAGTGCTTGTGAACCAAACAGTTCCAAGCTGCCCTTCCTCAGGAAGCTGTATGTTGTCTCTTTATGGTGGTCTCCTGTTTTTTCAGGAACAGGATGTGCGGTCTCATCCTCAAAGGAGCTGTACTTTTTAATTTCATTAGCTTCATGCGCTAGAAACCTCTTTCTTTCTTCTTCATGTTTCTTTGATGCTTTTCTGCTTTCTAGTGCTTCCATGGAGGGCTGCCACTGCTCTGACTTGTGTGTGTGCTTTCCTGATGAGTCCAAGTTTTCTGCTGCAGGGTGGAACCTGGTGGCAGCGCTCCCTCTGCCATCGGTGCCCGGCTTCCCAGGCAGGTCCCCAAACAAGGGAGCCAGGGCAGTGGCCATGGCTGAAATCGATGTTGCAACTGCAGATGACAGCGGAGCAATCTTTCCACTTTCACTCTGGACCTATGAAGGGAAAAAACAAACAAACAAAAAATCCAAAAAAGCCAAATAGGACTTACAAGCTCTGAAATGATCAATTCCAAAAAGCAGCCTTATCACATCAGTTCATCCAAAGTATGTTTTCATGTAAATATTGTACTCTATCAGTACAGACTAGAACAGGTAAGGAAAGCAACAATGCCCCTGTAATTTGTCTGCAGATGTGTTATTCCACTCAAGGTAAAAACAACTTCATGTGAGCAGCAACACCTTTAGTAACAAGGGGTGTGTGTGGAACATGCAACCTGACATTGTGTCGGGGCTCAGGACCTGCAGCAGTGCAGGAAGGAATTAGCTCAGGTTCCAGATGCCAGCTAACATGCCATGTGCCCAGGCTAATCACCTCTGCATCTCAGCAGGACTCATTAGCTTTGGCACAGCTCTGCTCTTACACAGCTCTGAAGCTCCCAGCTCTGGTGACCACTGAGTGCCAGGGAGGGACTGTTCCGTGCTGTCCTAACCCAGGGCAGACATTCCTGATGCTCCCTCCACATAAATCACCTTCATGCAGGACTTTTTCAAATATAAACATTGGCTGTCATGAGCAAAGTATTTGAGCCTAAGAAGCACATTAAAAACACTTCCAAACTTATTCTGCCAGCCCCCATGGTAGAACAACTATCTTTTCTACTCTTCTAACATAATAATTTTGTAAAATTTTCCTAGATGCAGTTAAGATGCATTTTTTCCCCCAACATGCAGAGCTTTATCTTCTCCAAAGGAGAAGCTATGAAAGCTATGAAAGAGAGTTACAAACATGCCTCATACACATCTGGAGGGTTTTTTTTTTTGTTTTTTCTTAAACTGCAGAGTTAGTGAACAGTGTGCAAAAGGACAGACAAGATCACACCAGTAATAGAAATCAGCTCAGAACCTAAAAAGTGCATGCAGATTCCATAAAACACAGACAACAGTCATTCACTAAGAAAACTGGGAAGCAGAGCAAAGACTATGTTAGCTCAAAGATTCCAAAACAAGATTAAGAAAATAGTTACCAGTTTATTTTTTTTCCATTGCATCTATCAGAATTAGAAATTTAGAGGAGATCAGAAAATTGAATTCAGTATTAGTTACAAGACATTTACATTTTCAAATATGCACTTTGGGAATATAACCTCTAGTTATCTATTTTGAGAGCTCTCTTTTGCTTCTTCCTAGAAAAACCATACAGGCATCTCAAAACCCCCCAACACTTCAATGAACAGTTCACTGTAGAAAGTCTTTTTGAAAATACATTCCCATTGAGCTTGCTTCAGAGTCAACTCTGATTTCATTTGCTAGGTTCAGAAAGATGACACAACATGCTTCCTCTGATTTTCCTTGCTTGAAAAGCATGTTTGCTCTGTAAGGCTGACAAAGTGATGTGACTGTCACTTCTTCCCCATCTGCTTCAGCCCTGTTCCATTTACCACCGTCCTGGCCCCAAACAAGTTGGTGACACAACCATAAAAGAGGCCATGCTGTGACAGTAATTGGCATGTGGAGAGTGAATGGAAAAAGGACTATGTAAGGTATGGAAACCTTGCTTAAATAAATCTGTCAAGCATTTACTACTACTTCATGTGCAAGTGAAGTAGGCATAAAGTACAATTATAATCTGTACAGCCTTGCACCAATATGTTTAGAGAAATCCTGCTTTCTCACTATCCTGTTATTATAAAATATGGAAAATGTATAATCATGAATGAAGCATATAGAAAGAAAAGGGTAGGAACTTTCTAACACTCAGATTTATCCAAATACATAGAAATATGACAAGCACAGGAGTTGTGCTTGACTGTTAAAGTGATTTCTTTCAGAGCTGTAGTGCAAAGGGACTGCTGTTTCTGCTATTGTGAAGAGATCTAAGAGATCATTTCTGGGCCACCTTATGCTGAGGCTTTACTAAAAAGGCATTCCTTTGCAGTTCCAATTAGATGAAGTATTCCAGAACAGGAAGCCAAATTTCACTGCACATTAAATAATTTCTCTTTGACTTCCTGAATTTCAAAAGTATTCTGCTTTTAGGGAAAAAAAATACAGATAAAAATCAATGCCTCCTCTCAGAGGAAAATGACAGACTATGTCCTTACTAATAACAGAAATATATTGTGCTTTCAGGAAAGAGCCTGAAAACTGCACATGACAAAGCTCCAAAATGCTCTGAAATTACAACTAAAGCAAAATGATGTGTGTCTCAGTTTTTTACACCTTTGATCAAGAATTTACTTTTAGACAACATGTAATACTCTAGTGGAAGTGACACACACTGTGAAAGGTACAACTTGCACTGGGCAGGAAGTCGATATAGTCTCAAATTACCTTAAAAAAGAAGAAAACCATACCAAAAAATTTGAACACTTCAGGGAATGTTCAATGTCAGAAGGCAGCTTCCCGACAAACTTTTTCCTCTGGGTGTAGTTCAGAGCAAAGGAAAGGCCAGCCTTTATGGTATCTTACACTGAAGCTGTTTTCTCCAATAAAAAGAAATGCAAAGGAGCTGTGATGGCACTTACCTGCTCAACCTCTCCCAGGGTGACTGGCTGAGTCTGGTAACGAGCATTCATCCTCCTGTGCCTCAGATCTCCCCGATTCCTTGTGGAGATGGCCCTGGATACTGGCTGAGACAGTTTGTTAAACAAAGCCATCTTTTCTGCCAAGCTTAAGGTGGAAGAATCTGGTTCCTCAGACTGATCTTGCCCCATCGCCTCTTTGGCTGCTCTTATCTCCTCTTTAGCTAAAATTTTTTGGTGTGCTGATGCCTGCAAGCTGAAGAAGCAGAACTGGAAGTTAGTTTTGAAGAAGCCCTTGTGCAGTTTTAAAATCTCAACCTGATAGAAGCAGAAGATCTGCACGTGAAGCACAATAGCCAATGTAATGTAGCAGCCTAAGTGGGTATGCAGTGGTTCAACATTGGCATGATGAATTCTAATTCAACAGCTGAAGATTTTTAAAAAAGTTACATTTTCATTAATGAATTCATTTGATGAGGACACAACATTTTTTACGAGGGAACTCAAGATCGAAGAGAGATTTTCCAGACAATCTCTTTATACAGAGCACAGAGATATGGAGAGACATTTAAGATGCCTTGAAGGTCCTACAGTACAATTTATATAAAGTTCAATTTTATTGAAAGCAATTTGTGGACCATATATGATAAAAACATTTAAAAGACAGACTTAAACTCCAAGTTTGTGCTGCTTTTAAGTTAGAATAAATTGTAATGACTCTTCTAATCTGAAGTGCAACAGATTTCAGACTGTCTTTTGTTTTGAATTATCTGGGATAAATCAACAAGAAAAATTGGTTTTGAAACACAGCACTTTGATTTTGAAAATTGACCAATGCTGAAGGCAGACATATTGATTCATAAAAGCTGTAACTGCATTTGTCTCTACAATAATGTATTTTATTCATGTTTACTATAAAATATTTATTGTTCAACTTCGTTCACATTTATGGAATTAGTAGTATTCTCTAACTATTTTTTTTCTGTCACGGTCTCTGCTAAAATTCTCTCATTCAGAACAGTATTCTGCAACTTTACCTATAGGTGGTGCAATTTCTTATATTTCCTTTAATTTTGCAAGCTAAAAAAATACATGTAGAGACAGACAAAGGACATGTACTGCCTGTGAAATCAAGCACTCAGCTGTGCTATTTTCATCTTAGGATGATATTACCATACAAAAAATTACAAAAGCAAAGAGGGTTCTGCTATGTTTGCTCACATGCAAATTAATTTCTTTCAGAAGAAGAATAAGCTTCTACAACAGGTTAAGTGTGGTTAGAAGGGTCCTGAAAACAGACACTTGACAATAAAAAGCTGCATTGCTTTATCATGCAAACATAAATGGAGTTGACGAATGTTTTAAATATTCTTGAAACAAGTATTCACTTGACACATTGAAAAGGCATTCAAGACTTTAAAGATGCATCTGCTATTGAGGAATCTTGTGCTCCATGTAACATGCATGTTTACCCCCCCAGTACCTGGTAGGTTGTACAGTGCTCTTAACTACAGTGGGACTAGGTACTCTTGTCACTACTGTGTGGGTATTCACAGAACGTGAAGCAGGGGCAGTTTCACTTTAAAGAATTGCCAAGGAGGGAAAATTCACAGGGAGAGAGAAGAAAAAGCATTAAGAAAAGCAATACATTAAGTGTTAACTACAGAAAAGACCAAACCAAAACAAAACAGAAAAAAACCAAACAGCAATCATTTTTAATTAACTGAGTTATCTGCTGTGACATTTGCAAAGTAATTACAAGTATCTTGAAAGAACTAAAGACCTAGAGGAGCAAACAGGCTGTCTCTTGAAGTTATTCTTAACCCATGAAGTAAGTTAACATCTGACCATTAGGTGAACATCCATTCAATTCACCATTGTTTAATTTCCCCCCCAAAATGATTTTCCCTTTTTCAGGAAAATGTCATGATATACGAGTATAGTGCAAGAAAAGCATTTCCAAAAAGTACCTTTGAGATTTCAGGGTGTAAAAAGTTTTCCCCAATACATATACATTCCATAAGAAATTGTGCAGATTTCCCTCAGCACAAACTATCTTATTCATTTGGGTTATGAAACAATGCTATGATTAATCTCGTTTACCTAATCCACAGGTTCCTAAACTTCCTGCCAAATTACAGTTCATACAAGTTATGCTTTACTAGTCCCTCTACATTTAAAAAGGAATTTCAGTATAGTTTCCCCTGTGGCTCTCAAGGCCCTTAGCAATATATCCATATAAATGTTTTCCTCGCTACAGAGTTATAAGCACCACAGATATGGAGCTTATTCCCAGGTTTGAAGCAGGAGCTGGGGTAGAGCCAACAGCAGACTTACGTGGCTGCAATGACCACCTCCTCACTGGTGATGGGCTGGGTGTGAGACCTGTCCTGCAAGCGCCGCAGCCTCCGCTCCACTGCCGAGCTTCTGCTAGGTGGTTTGGGAATATTTTTCATTTCAAATGATTTTTCCATTTCCTAACAGGACGTATGTCATAATTAAAACCATGGAAGAAAAAGTTCTGAAACAATACTTTATCCTTAGGTTTCTTGCATGCACAGCAGTGAAGTTCCCAAATGCCCATCTCTGAATTAGAAGCAAGATGCAACCGCACAGTATGCACCATGGAGTTAAAACTAACTACACACTTCTCCCTAAATGACACTCTTAAAGCAGGCAACAGGTCTGTGTAGGCAGGGAATGAAGTAAAAAACAAAAGTTATGTATCTTGAACTTGGTTAACTGCATTATACTTCATTCTAATGAACTTTGGGTTCCTTCAGCATCTTCTATTTGAAATTTTTAATTCAATGCAATACTCACTCTAAAAAGGAGTCTCTTTGCAGCTACACTTAATTTAGCTCGGTCATCCAATTTTTCTTCATCTACACAAAGAGAAAAAAAAGGAGGCTGAACATAATCAATCAATCTCATATTAAGAGCAATATTTTTAATATGAATAATTACAAACCAGCAAATAAGCTGGCTGTTTCTCACATTTAACAAAAAACTTATTGTGAACACAGCTGTGTAAACTTCACCTGTTTTTACATGTATTGCATCAAATGAGCAATACAGTCTGACATGTAGTCTAACATGATTTGCAAAAAAAAGACTTGTCTTCAGGACAGTTCAAGTCCTTTCAAACTATCTAAACAACATTTGATGAATAACCAAACTTATTGCATCAGCCTATGAAAACACATGGACAAAGAAAATAATGACTGCCTTAAGGGTGAGTGAAGAGAACTGAACATCTATCTTCTACTAGCTGCCCATTCTGATTACCCCCTTGTGTCCACATTTCTCAGAGGCTAAATTGGTATCCTCAGGAGCTGAAATCAGCATCCTCCAGATCCAAGAGCCAGCATCTCAGAGCTGCAAGGAATATCAGCTTTCAAATAGCATAAGGCATTAAATCTAAATATAGCTACTCATGAGATTACCTACTTAATTTGTGCCAGACTTGCCAAGGGTGACAAGAGGGAAAGAGAGCAAGATGGCAGACTGAATTCTGTAATTTAATAACCTGCATTTTGCAACTTCCTTAGCCAAAAAACAAGTAAGCAACATAAGTTTCACAATATACTACAGGCTTTCTTTGAATTATAAGTCCTAGACCAGTAATTAAAACTGACCAATGATTAATTTTTTTTCCCAACTAGCTTATTTATTGTCTAAATTAGGATAAAATCCAACCCCAACTATATAGAAAAGTTTCAAGCCATTCTCTGCTTGACTTCCATTTGAAGTTTGGTATCCACAGACAGACTTTTGGACTGAAAATGAGATTGAAATCAAGTCTGTAGTAGATATGGCCCAAGGAAAAGGGGTATTTCAACTACATATCATAGGTAAAGATATTTTCAAGTGGATTTTGTTTTTATTATCAAACAGTTCTTTAGTTAAACCAAAATAAAACACATCAAAGCCCATATCTTCCTTGGAAAACAGTACAGCAACATACCGTCAGCAGTTGGTATTTCTGCATACAAAATTGACCTAGTGAAAAATTATCAAACAGAAAAAAGTTAGCTGGAAACAAGACATCAAAAATGAAATTCAAATTCAATCTGAAGTAGCAGGAGAATTTATCTGTTTTTCAAGTTTCAGCAGTGTCCACTTGGGAACATCCTTTAATAAAGCATAAATGCAAGCAATTGCAGCCAAACTTAAATATAGTCAAGGAAAATTATTTCTAGTTCACCTTGCAGAAAATAAATGTCTGTGATTTGCTACCAGCTTTTTAACATAAAAAGGTACCTTTGGTGGTTTACAAAGAGAGTAAATGATACAGCAGAGTAGATGGAAAGGAAACCCTTTATGTGAAACCAAAAGCATTTAACATTCGAACCAAACACCTACTTTATGATGATTCACTGTTCACTATTTCAAATGGGAGGAATTTGCAACAAAATTGGTTTTGTTGGGGGGAGGGGTTTAGATTTCATCTTGTAAGAAGCTACAATAAATTGTTTTTTAAAGACAAACAATAACCTTGAAAATGTTTATTCTAATATATGGACAAATCTTGTCCCAGCCTTGTTAATATCCACCTGCTCCAGAATGCTACACAGAGCTACGTACGTGCCTACCTATCTGTCTCCTTTCGTTCTGCTGATGTTATAGGTTGAGTTTTAAATCTCTCAGAAGTCTTTCTATTTTCACCAGGAGTAAAATAGCGCCTCGCCTTTCGTGGCCCACGGTCCCCATTGGCAGACACAGTACTACCTGCTGCCGACATCTCAAACCGAGACTCACTTTCAAATCGCACGACAGAGAGCGCATAGGAAAGAAAAGAGGAGAGAGAAGTAAAACATAGATGTAAGCATCTCAAAACTCCCCAGAGACCACTCTGCATGCTCCTCCGGGTCCATGCAGACGAACACATTCCAGCTACCCCATATCACAACTCGCACTAGCAAGCAGAAGCACAAAAGCAGGGTTCAAACCATCTCAGCCTCCAGTACACTCTGGTGAGAGCTAAGCTGTGTGCTTTAAGTGCCGAACAACAACTGCTGTTGAGTGGGTGTAATTTTGCCAAGGACGTGCAAGTTTCACACGAAAATACGAGTGAAATGTCACCTACAGTTCCGTTTTCTTGTTGGCATTAGCAGACTCCAGAAAGACATTACGGAGCTGGGCAACAGAGACTTTTGTGTCAACCATGCCAATCTCACCATTTGGTGGATTTGCTTCCATGCTCTCCTTACTTTTAAAAGGTTCTAGCTTAGTAGTCACAGTATAGTCAGACATGGAGCGAGTCAGGACCTTATGCTTTGTTGACACTTTCCAAACAGGAGCCTTTGCCTTGTCAGGCTGCAGCACAGATCCGCTCTGTATGTACATGACAGCTTCACTCCTTTCTACGTTCTCAGGGGTCTTATACTGCTGCTCTGGGGCCTGCCTCTTATTGCATTCCAACTCCCTCTGAACTTCTGAGTTAACTTTCGGCTTGCTTGCAAAGGAGGAGCTCCCTACAGGGGTCTCCAACTCTCCTCCGCCAAAGAGGCCTTCGTGGTTCTTCCCTTGCTTGCGAATCTCAGATGGCAGAATGGGCCTTCTGCCTTTGGAAGCCTGTTCCTCCTCCAAGGAATCTTCTCCAGCAGGTTTTGCTCCGTAACCGGGTGCTTCCTTCTTTTCGCTCTCCGAGGCAGTGGCAGCTGAGGGCTTTGTGTCTGAGGGGAGGAGGCTGCCAGCAGGGCTGTTTGCTGGTTCTTCTGCTGCCATCAGCTGAGCTGTGTGAGCAATGCCAGCAGGCTGGATATAGCCATGGATTGGCTGGCGGACGGAACTGACGGGCTGATTTTGAACCCTATCAAAGGCAGACGTTTCTGTCTGAAGAGGCATGTAGTGGGCTGGCACTGGATGGGATTTTCTCTGAGATACTGTGTCTGTGACAAGTTCAGGGCTTCCACGAGCACTTTCCTCTTTCACCAATTTCTCTCTAACTTTTACTCTTTAAGAAAGAAAAAGGATTAAAGCTGTGAACAGCAATACCCAATCTGGAAAGGAACACAGACACCTACTGTGGGTACAGACAGCAACATTGTAGTAAAATAAAAAACAATGCATTAAAATAAAGCAATCTTATGATGCAACCCCTTCCTTCCCCCAAGTCTTAGCAGTAATACTGCCCAAAAAGAGTCAAGTGATTCAGGGGCCATGGCCATGCATGACTCCTGAGAAGGTAACTGTGCAAGCTCTGGGAACATACAGCATGTTCTCATGAGATCACAAGTGCATTTGCCAAACAGCACATACCCATAGTCTCAAACAAACAAGATGATCAAAACTGCTTTTTATATTATCAGTGTTGGGTTCAGCCTGAAATTGCAAATTCTACTGGCAGTTGTGTATGCAGTCAGATGTCTGAAGATGTCTAAACACTGGGAAGCTTGCATCACACCAAGACGTTGTTGCATTGGGGAAAGGGGTGAAAAAAACATGTTATCTCCACCTAGCCCTTCAGATATTTTGCCAGAGACTGGTTTACTTGTGTTTTTGTGTATCATTTAAGACATCTGAAAAATCACATGTAGTGTAACCTGTTTCAGTAAGTGAATAAAAACATTGAAAGGGCAAGTCCTAAACCCAAAAGCAAAACTATGGCATGGCTGTTGCTTTTCAGAGAGCTTGCAGGGAAAAAGGCATTTAAAAACTGAAACAGACATTCTGTTTTAAAATGTTTCATTACATTCTAACATGCAAAACTTGCAACAAAAACACTTGTTCCCAAAAGTTACCTTGCTTCAGTGTGTTTTCTAGAAACACCTCTGGACTTGTGCAACATCCATGCAAGCCAGAGTTTTATTTAACCTTTCTAAATGGAATACAGCAGCACAGTGGAAGGCAAGCACGTGCAGCCAGGGGCAGCCTTTGCTCTGGGGCTACTGCTGCAGGTAAAGCTCTCCAGCACTTTCACAGCCTCACCAAGGCTCAGACACCTCACAGGGTGAGTGTCTGCAGATAAAACACGCAGTACGAAAAATGAAAGCCCTGTACTTCCTCCCCTCCCAATTGGGTATGAAAAAAATAATTTTAGTTTTCAGGAAAGAGAGAGAGTCAAGCTAGGAAACTACTGTTTGAAAGTAAGTAATCCAGCTCAAAGTATGTGCAATTCCAGGCTTGCTACCAACAGACTTTTTGGAGTTTACATCATTAAGAAAAAAGAAAAAAGTAAGACTTAGGGGGGAAAAAAGGCAAATTATCTAAGAGAATAATTCAGGATATCCAAAGTTATTTGAAACACCACTCTTTCTAACATTTTGGTGCTTCTTACCTCTCAAGATTGATGCACTTGTCAGGGAAAGTTACTTAAGCACATAAAGTGTATTAAATCTGAAGAAATATGCTTTGAACTACATGTACCAAGCATTCTCCAGAGCATCCACACCAAGGTTAGTACTGGGTTATAGGTATTACTTTAACCAGGAACATAAAAACAGTCTTCCTGCAATGCTTTTCATGGTGGGCTTACTGTACATGTTACCAAACCAGGAGAAAGCAGCTGCCTGTAGCTTTGGTCATGATTTTGTTTTACTTTTCCATGTAATTTTTTTCTTACTTCTCTTGTACCATCTCCTTTGGAATTTAAGGATTTACTTGTAGGGAATGCTAAGATGGAAGGGTGTACAGTAAAAAATATGCTGGTTTGCAGAGCACAAAATGAAATAAGAAGTTATAAAATCTAGTGGAAACCAGAATGATAGTAGCTGTGGAAGAAGCTTGGGGAATTTTTACTTCTTCACCAAAATACCAATTGGTTCTAAGTTAGAATAAAAGCAGATGCTTCAGAAAAGTTTCACAGGCTTTTTATTCACAAAAACCTCACTTTCTTACTTGCTGCTGTTAAAGGAAAATTAAGGGCAAGTGTTAAATGTAGATAGTAAAAGGAAAGAAGGGAGGGTTTGCAGTCTGATTGTTAGCCACACAGCTATGCTTTATGATACCTGGAGGGCCAGCTGATAAGTGAAGGTGTGTCCCCTTCCGAATCTTTCTGAAGAAACCATTCAGGTTTTGCTTTCCCTGCACTACTACAGAAAACAGAACTTCAGGTAATTTCTGAGATCTCAATACATGCTCCCATTATTTCTCCCCATCTCCCTTCCCCACTGCTTCTTAATTTTGATTATTCAGTTGCAGAGGACAGTTCTAGAAAACAAAAGCAATGCACACTAGTCCAATTCAAAGGTAATAAACTGGGAAAGAAATTATTATATAATCCCACAAACATATACAAAGTATGCTAAGTGGTAAAGATTCTGCAGAGGTAACTTTACCAAGTCCACATTGTCCAAAAATTGAGAAGTGAAAGCAACTACACAACCTTATATTTGCATTTGCCATTGTGGATCAGTTTGTGTAAGGACATTTGTAAAAGCTGTTAAAACCATTCCTTTAATTTGTGATTTAAAGTGGTAAAGACTGCTGCAACCAAAACAAAGGAGCAATAGGAATTTAATGAAGTGAAAATTTCATAATGCTACATCATATTTCCTAAGAAATTCTCAGGAGTATCTGAAATCCCTCTGTCCTCTTGTAACCCTGTATCACAGAGCTTCAGAAATGCCCACCTGGTTAGCACAAGTCAAAGTCACTGTGCTACTGGGTGACTTGGCAAAGGAAAAACAAAGAAAAAAGTGACCCCTAATTTAATCTTGCCTTGACTTTACTCTGTTCACATTTTACAGTTGAAAGCATAAAAAGAAAGAAGAGCTTTTTAAAGCTCTGCAGCAGTGCAAGAAAGGCTGTTTGCAGGCTTCTACATAAAGTTTCTCAAAAACTTTCCTAATGTTCACCTTCACCTACAATCCCCCAGCAACAGTAGAACACATCAAGTACTTTTAACCTTGCAAGCACAGCCTGTCCTGCCACATTAATGTTTACAAACTCACTCCCCAGAGGTGACAAGCATCCAGGATGCTTTCCACTACTTATGAAAGAACTTTTCCATTGGAGAAGAGCCATTTGGGATAATACCCCCAAATTAAGCTCCAGGTCATATACTTCAATTTTTCTTAACTACTCTTTTATGAAAAATAGTTGGAAAAGGTTAAATCAACAACTGTTCTGGAGATAACAGTGTATTTGATGCAAGTAAGTTTAAATTTGAGAACTCACCTACAGTTGTCATTGAATCCAAATCTATCTTAGAACAGCAAACACCAACTGTTGAAACACCTTCTGTTTTCCAATGTTTTTGAATCCCTAACGGAACTGACCAAAGAGGAGGGAAAACCTTTTCACAGAAGCTGACTAGAAGCAGCTAGCTGGAATTGTTTTGAAGCACAGGAACTTCCTTCTCTTTTAATGTGTACTTTGGCACAATTTTATAGTGGGCACGGCCCAAGCAGTAATTATTTGTACTTGATCATTCATCCTTTGAAGAGTGCAATCAGAAGAACGCAAGCCATATTTTGAATTTAATCAGCCATTTCAGGAGCCAAATGCAGACAATGTCAAATGATACCTTCTCATGATGGGTAACTGGATTAATTATTAAATCTTAGTACTGAAGGCACAAAAGCTTTCATATATATTCCAAAGTGAGCTGCATTTATTTTCCAATTTGAACTCAGGAAATTTAAATTTAATGAAACCGATTTTATAGCCTGTATATAACGTGGAACTGACTTCAGAACAGCAGTCACCTGAACAACTGGAGTGAGCCTTTTTTTCTCTTGTGCAAATAGCTTTATAGGGACCACCACAGAGTAACTTTAAATGGACTGCATGGACACAATGACTTTTTTACCACTCAGAATCAGGGACAAGAGTTTCAGAGAGGTTATTCTCACATCTCTGAATATCATACCAGGGAGTACACACTGGCACTGAAAGTGTCAGGGGTATTAAAGAATGGGCTCTTGGCAACATGGCCTTTAAAATACCAGCTACTGCCTACATGTGTATCCAAACAAGAGACCAAATCCCACATTTAAGCTCTTGGCTGCTTTAAGTACTACATCACATCTTGGTGGATGCAAATGGTTTCCTTCAAAAGATAGACAGCAATTAGGGGAAATTTGTTTTATGCAAATACTACCCAAGCTTCATCCAGAAAAAAATCTGAAATTAGAGATAATGCAGTCAGCAATTTGTATTATATTATTACTCACAGAATAGTTTGAGTTGGATGGGACCTTTAAAAGTCATTTAGTCCAATCTCTCTGCAATGAGTAGGGACACTTCAACTAGACCAGGTTGCTCAGAGTCCCATTCAACATCACCCTGAATGCTTCCAGGGATGGGGCATCTACCTTCTCTCTGGACAACCTGTGCCAGTGTTTTACCATCCTTCTTGTAAAAAATGTCTTCCTTATATCTAGCATCAATCTACCCCTCTTTTAGTGCAAAACCATTGCTCCTTCTCCTATCAGAAAAGAGGAATGTCCATGTTAAAAAGTCTGTCCCAATCTTATAATCATCTCCTGCAGCACTGAAAGGCTGAAACCAGATCTCCCTGGAGCCTTTTCTTCTCCAAGCTAAACAACCTCAACTCCCTCAGCCTTTCCTCATAGGAAACGTACCCCATTGCTCAGATTATTTTTGTGGCTCTCTTCTGGACTTGGTCCAACACTCCATGTCTTTCCTGTGCTGAGGATTACAGATACAGTAATCCAGGTGAGATCTCAAGAGAGTGATGTAGGGGGGCAGAATCACCTCTCTCAACCTGCAGACCATGATCCTTTTGATGTGGCCCAGGACCCATGTAGCTTTCTGGGCTGCAGGTGCACATTGCCAGCTCGTGTGCAGCCCCTCACACACCAGTTCCCTGAAGTTCTTGGCAGAGCTGCTCTCAATCCCTTCAACCCCTAGCCTGCACTGGTACTACTGGGGCTTGCCCAAGCCCAGGTGCAGGACTTTGCACTTGGCCTTACCAAAGCCCTCAGGAGTCTCTGATGAGCCCACTTCTCAAGCTTGTCCATGTCCCTCTGGGTGATTATCCCATCCTTCAGGAGTGTCAACCACACCACTCATCTTGGTGTCGTCTGCAAAATTCCTGAGGGTGCACTCAACCCCCTTATGTCATTGAGGAAGACATTAAATAACCCTGGTCCCCACTGAGACCCTTAAGGGACACCACTTGTCACTGATGTCCATCAGGACTCTGAGTTGTTGAACACTACTCCCTGGATGCAGCTGTCCAACCAATTCCTCATCTACTGAACAATCTATCCACAGCTCTTCAATTTAGAGAGAAGGATGCTGGGGGGGACTGTGTGCTCTTGCAGGAGCACAGACAGAGACATCTGTAGCCTTTCCCTTGTCCCCTAACGTAGTCACACAACCATAGAAGGCCACAAGATGGGTCAGGCAGGACTTGCCTTGGAGAAGCTGTGCTGGCTGTCTCGAATCACCTCCCTGTCCTCCATGTACCTTAGCATAGTTTCTGAGAGGATCTGTTCCATGATCTTCCCAGGCTCAGAGGTGAGGCTGACAGGGCAGCAGTTTCCAGTATCCTCCTTTCTACCCTTTTTAAAGATGCGTGCAATGTTTCCCTTTTTCCAGTCACTTGGGACTTCACCTGACTGCTCAGATATCATGGAGATATATCAGCCAATTCCCTCAAGACTCCAGGATAATTTAATTGGGTCCTGTAGCCTTATTACTGTTCAGTTTCCTCAGGCAGTCAGGAACATGATTTTGTTCTTATAGTGGAAGGGACTTTGCTTCCCCAGTCACCACCCTGCTGTCCACCCACTCATGAGGTGTGGAAAGAGAGGTTCCTATTGAAGGCTGAGGCAAACAACTAGTTGAGCCTTCTCCTCATCATTGTTACCAGTTTTGCTTTCACCTTCCATATCCAGCTAACATACCTGTAGAAGTTCTTGCTATGCTTTGCATCCCTTGCCAAATTCAGTTCCAGCTTCACCTTGCCCCTCCTAACCTCATCTCTACACAACTGGGCAGTGCCCCTGTACTCTTCCCAAAACACCTGTCTCTGCCCACTACTGTGCATTCACTTCTTTAATCCATGTTGGTGTCTTTCCTTTTTTTTCCTGATTTCTCACAACTGGGAATGGAAAAGCTCTTGTGCTCTATGGAAAGCATAAATGGTTGAGCTAACACCAGCTACCTCAGTTTCTTAAAAATAGTCAACACTGTTCAGCATTATGCACATATGTATAAAATTAAGTTCTCATTGACATAATTTTTAGTTGCAACATTTTAAGTTAAGGTTTTCAAGTTATTATTTTCTATCTATCCGCATACCAAGAAATTAAAGACTCACACTTAGAGAAAATCATACTTTAAAATAATTCTTAGTCATGCATTATTTTCAGTCAGCATAAGAATTTGACAGTATTTCTATACCATACTGAGAAATTGTAATGTAAAATCAGTGGAAACTAATTTTTTTTTCCTTCTGGAAGAATCTGGTTACCCTATTACCAGAGTAAATTTGTCAAGTCTAAAGCAATTCAGCACAGAATTTTAACTCTCCCCTCTGCCCCTTCATGCACATATAATGCCTGATATTACCTGAAAAATTGACTACCACAGTTCAAAAGTGTTTTTACACTTTCACATCAGGAAAACAAATCAACTATTATTTCAACTGACCCAAGACAACTCTTCAGCTTTTAAGTTTGCAAACTGTTTTATTTTGGCAGAAGTCATCATAAAGATAGTCAAATCTTCACTGAGAAGCAGCTTGCCTCTACTTGGAAGCTCCCAGCCAACAATTACAAGGTATAGAAGAAAGAAAGTTAAAGACTTGCTCTAACAGGTTATTAAAAAACCAAAAAACAAAACCCAAGGGGATTTAGAACCATAACTCCTTCAATTTCTAGTTTATGTCCTCTCCACAAAGGGCCTAATTTTAGCAAAAATTCTATAAATATAAAGTGAAACCAAGGACACAGCTAATTAGAAAAATACATAGCCACTTCCTTGTATCAGACACACACTGTGATACAATAAACCCAACTAATCCAGCCTGAGACATCCAAAGCAACTAAATACATTCTTCAAGGGTAATAAATACATTCTCATTAATACTGTAGACACTGATGCAGAAGCTGATTAAGATAAAGGAATCTACAGAAAAAAAAACCAAAACAGAAATCATACCTACCTTTGTCTGCTGTTACTGTGCAAGGGCTGGTCATTCTGCAAGTGGGTGGGTGAGGCTGCCCGCTTGGGTGAGGAGAGGGACTCTCGGGGGCCTTGCTTTGGTGGCATTGGCACTTCGTTATAGCAGGAAGAGTCTCGTCCAGAAAGGGAAAGGGAGACAGAGCTATCCAAGGTTGCTGAAGGCTCAGAAGCCTGTCTAATGGCACTGTCATCTGCTTTTCTAACACCCTTTTCATTTGAGAGGTCATCTTTATCTTCACGGCTGGAGTACTCTTTGGAATCAGAAATCACACTCTTTGATGACTTTGTCTCAGTCCTGGAAAAATAGAGGGTGCCATAGTCCTTGTTTTCATCATCTTGCCTTTCACTTTTCACTCCCTTTCTTTCCACGCTGTCAGGATCTTTCCTTGCCCGTGTATATCTGGATGAGTAGTCAGAATCCAAATCAGACTCAAGGGCTAATCCATACTTTTCTGCCAGCTGGCGTCGCCTCTCTGCCTTGTACCTAGCTATTCTCTCTGCTTTTGACTCTAGTTCCTGGATATCCATGTTTGCTGTACTGTACAAGGGCTCTGTATTACCTCCCGTGGTTTCTGATCGGTATCTGGACGATCTGGGGTGTTTCTCTACTGAAGAATCTGAAGTTTCCTCCTCCTCATTTGATCTTCCTGTCAAAGTGCAACATATATGAGCAAGTCATTCCCAAAACTCCAGGTACCCTACCCACCAAACTGATTGAACTAAAAGCTTTCCATTTTCTTACAAATCAAAGTGACTGCACAGACACATTTTATTTTTGCACTTTTGTCTCCAAAAGGAGACACGAACAATTAAGAAATGTGTATTAGGAATAATTCTTTAATAAATAATAGTTCTCAATTCAAACAGTTATTTTAAAGCAATAAGAACAATCAACATTTTTCAAGTAAGACAACTGGAGATTTAAAAGGCAAATTAAAAACCCCAACCAACCTGACAGAGCTCTTCTGTAGAAGAGCTTCTAGGCTGATAGTGTAGCATACATGGAGCAATTCAGCATTGCAATATGGCCTGCCATGTGCTACTTACCTAGGTGGGGGCTGTATGGGTCAGTTGCTCGCATATATCTTGGTGTATCTTCCTCTAGCAAACGGTGTGTGACTGATCCTGGGCAGTTTTGTAGGAGCATAGGCTGTGTATCATTCTCAATTCCCTCTAAGCGCCTAGCTATTCTTTCTTTTCTGAAAAATATGTGAAAAATGTGAAAACAGGCATCTTGAAGATTCGAGGGCAGAGTTTCTACGAGGAGGTAACAAAACAAGCTGTGTGTTTTGTTTTATGGGCCAAACACTTTTTTTCCTTTACCTTTTCATTTCCAAAAAATCTTGGTTGTTTGGTTCAAAGAGTTTTCTTAATTCTGAAACTGAGACAACAAAACATTATGTAGCTTATAAAACAGTAAGTTTCAGAAACTTGCTAAAATGCTTTAGAATAAGAAGGAACAGTCAAAAAAAGTTCAGTGGTTTGAAATATCTTCTGTGAGGAAATGAGCATTTTCCTCTTGTTTTCCTAGTTTATTAAGGTTGTGCTGCCAAAAGTGCATTAAGCACATAGGTGTGACCATCAAGTACTCCTCCCCTCCACATACTTCCAGGCTAATCCCAAATCTGCCATGCCCATCCCTGCAGGTTTCAAGATCTACTGGACAAGTTGTGTTTTGATTAGCTAAAGTCAAACTTATGTGTCCTAGTAACCCATTTCAAAACCAGGTATTATGGAAAGTCTGCTTACCCTGCCTATTCAAAGGTCAGGGACTGACCATATATAAAGAGAAACAGTAAGGACCTCTTCCTTACTTTCCTCCACACCCTTATATTGATCAAATCCCAAGAATCCCAGTGACTCATTGCTGAAGTGAAAATTACCATGCACCATCATGGTACTCTTGCATGGTTAATCACTTGCTACTTTGCTAACTTTCCCTTGTAGTTTTGACTGCACATACTTTCCTTCTCTTCCCCTGAACCCTTTGCTGGTGTTAAGTGCCAGCAGACAGCTGCCACAGTCCACAAAAGTGTAGTGAACCAAGGGGAGGCACGGTAGATGAAGTAATCCCTATATATACCCACATCTGTGCATGTGCAGACCACACTGCAGCAGTGAGTGCTACACAGATAAGTGCAGTGTGGCTTCTTACCACCAGGAAGAGAAACTGCCCAGGCTGTCCAGGGAAGCAGGGCACTGGGGTGGGGTGTGCCTAACACACAGCATGCACATCCACACATTGTGGCCTTGGCAAACATGGTGCTGAAAGCTGTGTGCACCTATTCTTGAGCCAATGCACATCTGGGGCTCTAACCCTGTTGACCCAGGGATCAAAAGTTAAAGCAAGTGAAAGTCTATGCCTGCTAAATTGGCAGAGATTGCCATCAGAAACACCTGATGAGTCAGGAGTGTCTAGCTGACATTGTTCCACTGCAGAGGTAAAGCTATCAGCTTAATTTTCTTGCTACCAGATCTCATTGCTCTAGATACTTAGAAGATAAATATTACTGAAACACCGCCCTTTTAAAGGTCAGATGCACCTTTTCTGCCTTCCTGCTACTGCAAGAACTTAACATGCATGGCTTGGTCAGGGTTCCAGCTGAGCTGACTCATCCAGGAAGTTTGCTGTACTAAACACCAGTGCTCACACCTCACAGATACTGTCGACATTGACTGTCACATCAACCTTACATGCTGAAAAGCCTGAAAGTAGGACTACAGATAAAATGTGCAGGATCAGCAAGAATTAACACATTCTGTTCCTGAACCAACACTAAAGTAAAGATGAGCCCTTATGCTGTGTTTTCACAGACTTTTCAATGCATGAGCAGTTTCCACTGTTGCCCTGTCTACTCAAGCTGTGCTGGCAACAGAATCAGCCATTTGAAACCAGCCTTCATTTCAGATCCACACCAAAGGAAATGACTTCTCATAAAGACTTTGCTCTCACCTCCCCAAATCTACTGTTTCATTATGTTCCACTAGTTATTAGAGTTTTTCTGTTCCATCTTTTCTGTTCCATCTGTTGGCTATATACACACAACATTGTCAAAGCAAAACCTGTAATTGTCTGTCTTCAGACAAGTCGAAGGCCACCAGAGCTCAGAGTTACTCAAATCACATTCCATCCAAATCCTGATCCTTTTTTTCCCCTAGTCACCAATTTGTGCAGTCACCAAAACCATCATCAGAGAACAGGTCTTTTACAAGCTTTACTAAATCTCTAAAGCACAGCTTCATTTATTAGTGAAAGTCTTCTCTCCCCCCACCCCCAGAAAAGGAAACTTGACTATAAGTTGTCCACATACAAGAAATGTGGAACATCCAAAGAACTCCTAAAGCATTAACTCAACACTCTCTTGCTACGTGCTAGCTGAAGTTCCAGAGATTCTACTACCACTTTGCAGTCCTAAAAAGAGCACTGGTCTCATGAAAAATGTCTCCGAACACCTCCCCAAACAACGCAGGACAAAAATAGCATGGGACTACTCCATGCTGCCTTACACTTTTTCCAAGGCTGAGATTACAGAAGTAATTTCAGCTAGGTTGGACACAACATCTGTAGAATTTTTTCTAGGGAAAGCAGTTCCAGCAATATTCTTGTTTTGATAAGGAGGGAAAAAGAAGCACAAAAAAAAGCAAAACCAAAAGATGACAAAATGAAGAAAATATTCTAGTCCAGAGGTTTCTTTTTGATGAATAAAATATTTTACTTCAAAACATAAAAACCAGTTGGAGACATTTCACTCCAAGGACATTGGTTGGCCCTTGCAAATTTAGGTGACCAGGTTTCTCCTTTTTAGTTTACAATTTGAGTATGTTGGTGCCAGCTCCCATCTGTCCATGGGATGTTTTCCCATGTGAGCATCACAAGCAACACCATGGGAGCGCTAAAGAACAGCAACACTTCTACCTAAAAAGTAGCACAAAAATCTGATTCAGCACACAAGAAAAGACTAAGAAGCTTGAAATAATTAATTTCACAGTAAAAGCTCCTTATCTAGATTACTTCATGGCAATACACTTTGTAAGCACCATTGGTTAGTTAAGGGCAAGAAGAAGAACAGCCACAGCTCAGAAACAGCTCTGAACTTGAGGCTTTATTTTAGGATGTTGAGCAGGATGCTGTGGTAGGACACTCTTTGAGGTAAACTGTCAAGAGGCATCTTAACTTTGGCAACTGTATTCCTTCAAAACAAAATTTACTTTGGAATATGTTTATTTAGGAAAAACAGTATTGTCCCATATGTTGACCCAGAATGAAATACAAAAAGCACATTTGGAGGGAATCTTATATTTTAAAAACTCCTTAAATTAAGGTGGAATATTTCTTATAGTAATATATATTCACAGAAATCTTTCAGAAACCTGCTACAGAATATGCTGAAAGCCCTTTTTGACAGCTGCAGAGGGGACATGTGAATAAAGCTGCAGCCATGTGACAGCAGTCTTCTTTTTACAATAGAAGCTGTAAAAACTCAATTAAGCCTTCCAAAAGTTCATAATAGAGGGGGAGCATGTACGCTTGTGAAGCCTGGGTAGACATGGATCAAAAGGTAACCTGCCAGAGGATTAATTTCTCAGAGATGGTAAATAACCATTGCAACACAGGTACCACACATTTTCATTTTGAGGAAAATTTAACAGAATAGAAAAGCCTACCAGCCTCACTCCTACTTCCTCCTCTCCACAACAGGAAAGGTGATGGTCTTAAAACTAGACTGGAAAAGCATTTATCTTCTGTTTATGCCAGCAAAGATGTATTGACATGTTCAATGCCCAACTGCAGGCCTCAGTTCAGTCTGTATCAGTTGAAAAGTAAACATATCCTTTCCATTTCTCAGCATATGCAAACCTGGATCACAATTAGGCTCTAGAAAATAACCTGGATTTTCAAAAAGCCCTGGCCTTTAAGTAGTCCCCTCAGAATTCAACCAAAAGCTTCCAGCGCTGTTTCTTAAGTCTGGTACACACCAAATAGGATGCCTTCATTATGAGAATATTTTTTTGAAAAATAGAAACATCTTGGAAAAGAAATTAGTTCACTGTGAAGCAACTTACAGATAAGGTTTCTCAAATGAACGCTCAGTTAAGTTGCTGGCCATATGATTGTAAGTCTAAGTGTAAGGAATAATGAGGAACTATGGATTATTATTGTCTGGGGCTGTCAGAAGTCTGTATTGCATAAATGCACCTCACTCTATTCCATCATTTTGCCAACAATGTTTCTATCTGAATATCTGTAATGATCATATTTAAAAGCAAGAATGTCACTTATATAGCACTTAAATATTATGCTGGAAGAATGCTCCTTTCCAGAGGAACTCTGCAGCAAATGACATTAAAAAAGCAAGCCAGTTCCTTTATGTTGGAATTAGTGCATTTAGCCTTGTCTGAAAAGAGTAAATACCACCAGAACATACACACACATAATTTTAATCCAAGTTCTGACGTCCATAACATCCTTGAATGAAAGGAACATCTTTGTGCCAGTTGCACATAGTTCTTCAGTTAAATATCACCCTTTGGCAGTCAATTCAAGAGAATTAATTCTTGCCTCTGCCTCAACTGTATCAAATGATAAAGATGGAACTGCTGTTTTCTTCAGAAATTACTCAGACTAAGATAGAAATTTGGAAAATACAAAATATCCCCCAGACTAAACTCCATATGTACTGCAGGCCTTTTAGCATGCAAGACAGAAATTCAAGTGCAGTCAATTGGTCGTGCAAGCACAGTGAGTGCACCGACCACCAAAGGGGCCTGGAAAGAGCTGTGACTCTTAACAACTCAAGTTAATACTTTTGAACTCAGGATTAATCTATCTGTAAAAATAAACTCTGTGAGGTTTTGGATTGCAACTACTAACCTACTGAAACAGGTAAACAAAGCTGAACTTTATGCAGCAGGGTTGCAGGAAGGTCTCGTAAAAGAGCATTGTGGTTCATCCCCTGTTTCACCCTTCATGCACACTTCACAGGGAAAACTCATTTACAAAACATCTGTGCCAAAGTGATTTTAACTGTGCCTTGTACTTGCATAGATGAAACTTCACATGCTGTTAAATTACCACTTGTGTTCACAGTATGTCTCCCTTACCTACCTTTGGGAAGTACTGCTAAGAGATTAGCATCAATATCCTTTGTGCTGTTCACAAGTTCTTCTTTATCTTCAAGGGAGAACTCCTTCTGAAAACTGAAAGCAACATCTGGTTTACAGAACTGTGGGTGTCTCTGCTGCAAATCAAATAAACCCAAGACATAACCAATTTACTGCTAGATAGTCTAACAGAGATACCAAAGAAAATATTTTCCCTAAGAATGAGCTAAGACATAACCCAAAGAAACTCAGAAAGCCAAACCTAACATAATTTGAAACTTGTTTGGAACTGACTGTGACACATTTTTGCATTAGATTACTGACTGCCTTCAAAATGCTCTACTAAGCAAGTACATTTAATATAATCTATATTGAATGGTTCTTCATAAGTATTAAAACATGTCATCAAAGGCAGTACTGCATGTACACTCCACCTAGAAACCTTCTGCATGACTACTCTGTTGTTGTTACTGCACTGTTCTCTGGATCTTACACAGTTTATAATCTGCTAATAGGAGTACCAGATCATTTAAATTTATACCACACCTTTTCAAAACAGGAAAACTGCCCATTTAGATGAAACAAAATATTTCTTTAAATATCTTAAATATGCAAATTTTATCTGTAAAATGTAGGTGTCATAATGGTCTAAAGTAGGTCCCAACTGTCTCCAGAGACTTTTTTGGAGGAAGTGTTCCTCCTTGTAAGCAAGATTTTTTTTTTTCTCCAATCAATAAAAATAGAGAACAAATTATTGTATTCAGCCATTGTGACTATGCCAGCTGGGCATAAGAAAACTTATAATGGTCTTAAAGCCTTTAGTAAACTGTGTAGACAGGTGTAACAGATATAAATCCTCACAGTGATCCCAGGTTCTTCATTTTGTCACAGCAGCGGTGTGCTGTATGATTTAATGTCATTCTGATAAGAAAAGCTGCACAATCTTACTGTTGGAAAATCCTTCCTGAGGACAGATTTTAAATGGCTGCTTTTTTTTTTCAAGGTTATGAATTCTGTTCTCACTATTTCCAAAGAATAATTTTAATTGAAAAGAATTTTAACATATATTGACTAATATGTTTCATAATTATTCCTGTTTATAAATATATTGTTTATAAATAACATCTCTTTTTAAGATATTGAGGGGAGAATAAAACCCTTGAAATGACAATGAAGAAACTGGGCTGTGTCACAACCAGGCACCATGCCACCTGCTGCAAATTGTCTCCAACAACTGCACTTAGAGAAATTATTCCAGGTACTGCCAAGAAAAGCAATGTTAGCCACTACAGAAAATAGCAAATAGAAGATGGAGAGCTGCAATAAGCTGTCCATTAGAGAGAACTGTGTGTCCTTACACAGCAAACACATGGTAATTGAGCTAAACAAAAATCAAAACACAATGAGAAAATAGCAGCCACAAGCAGATGGATCCATGTGTCATCTGAGACTGGGCAGAGACTCAGACAGTTAACTGGATGTTTTTCTATGCCTGACCCCACACTGCCAACACTTGTAATTCTTACTAGTCTCACAATATATGCTTTCCTTAAAGACACACTCCTGGAAAACGCTTGGAGAGATAGCCAGTTCCCATTTGAAAGCAGACTTTAGCTGAGGATGAGTTTGAAAAATGCAAATAATATTGGCCTAAGGCTATAAACCAACCCCAAATTTATTCAGCCAAATAAACTTAATTACTTAGACAAAAGTGCTGAAGGATCCAGCTCATTTGAATGAGCTTCAAAGTCATTCAGACTTGAATACCTGGGCTTTATTTAGCAGTATCTCCACTTGCTTTCATAATGCCTATAACAATGCAGCACCTTAAGCTTCCCTAAACAAGGGGCTTTGTACAGAAAAGCATTCACTGAACAGCAAAATCCTTGTTTAAATGAACTGTGTGTGAACACCCACCACTATGCCTAATTCCCACGTGAATTTTCAAGGGTAAAATCATGGAATCAGGATTGGCACTAGCCTGATTGTTCCATAAACAACCATATTATTGGATTGTTTGTAAACTACTTACATTCCCCCTGCTCCTCCCCTCCAGGGAGCTCTAGCAACTTTGAAGGCAGAGCTCTTTTAAACCCTTTTTAAATGTCTGTCACTGGGTTTCCATCCATTTGTTCTTGTACCAGTGTTGTCCAGTACCTTGCTTATTTTTCTTAATAGAGATTATCTCCATGTACTCAGATTTCTCAGGACAGGCTCTCAGTCTCATTGATTATCTGTTACAATGTCCTCTACTTATTCCAGCCTTAAGTGATCTTTTTTTGTATATGGTGACCAGAATTGGGTAGTCTTGATTTCAGACTTGGGTCTCAGCAGTATCTTATGAAAATATGATTTTTTTAATAGTGAAAGCATTATTATATACCTAGATGAATGCTGGGATCTACAACACATTTGCTTTTTTACATACACACTGTATTGGTTCCTCAATCCTGCATGAGAAACTAATATTCAAAGGCTTTGCTTTCATCAGTTGCAAGTGACAGAAAAATTTATCAGCCCCCAATGCACAACTGTGCACTTAGTATTATTACATTACATCCTTTTTCTATTACTCCTCAAGGTCATCCAGTTCTTCCTGTATGGGAGCTCCCTCCTCCTTTATACAGAGGGTGGCTTGCAGCCTTTGCTCACTGGCAGATTTCATTAAAATTCCTTAAATAACCACAAACTTCCTAAGCTTAACCCTCGCTGCACTAGACAGCATCACAGGTTATCTACTTTGTGAAAGTCCCAGTTTCCCTTATTCCCTCATTTTCCACTTCCTTCTGGACAGACTGTCAACCATTAATGTCTATTTTTTAAAGATTAACAATTATCAACATTTTTAACAAAATCATACACTATTTTGTCCACAATTTAGGAGTTTTATCTCTTCAGACACTTTCTTTTTTTTTGCTCTCTCTTGCTAAGCTGCAGGTGGAACTGCTTGTTTTAAATGTTTGCACATGAGAAAACCCAAATGTTTTAATCCAATGCATAATTACATTGCTTTCCCATGCACAGAGGATTCAGAGACAGCACTACTCTGAAGATGACAGAGTCAAGCCAAACAATTGAGTATTTATAGACACATACATCAAATTAGTTCTAAAAATGAAAGTAGGCATATTTAGGACATGTCACAGTGTTCAATAAGAACATTCATTAGGAATCTAAATTGAGTTGGAATGATGTTAAGGCAATTCCAAATAGAAAAAAAAAAATTAGAGGAGGCTACTCATCACCATTTATAAGTGTTTTAAAAAACAAACTCATAAGTAATTCCTTAAAAAGATTTCCCTTTTTACTCAAAGAGATCTTTCCAGACCTCTCCCTGCTTTATTATTTTCTCTGCTGGAGGAGCAGTCACAGCATCAATTCAGCTTAAGCAGAGTCAGACAGTCAGACTTGGATTGGCAAATCTATTGTACCTTCAAACTCATCCAAAACCCTCTTCTAGAAATACCACAAGTACATCTAGTCATGATGTAAATTTAGGTGCAGATTCTAAGCAGCAGCACTATGAATTTTTGCACTTAATAGCTAGGCTATGCACATTTATTATTAAAATAATTAGGGAATACATGGGTTTCTCTAAATAAAATGGAATTAACCAGACATTTGAAAGAATTCTATCTTGAAGGCCCTGATAAATCTGGATATTGAAAGAGGAACTTATTGTCCTTTCCTTGCTTGAAATACAGCTTTTGCTCATGATTGCATTCAGGAAATGCAATCAACATGAGGTTCCACCAGTTTGTTTCACACAGGATTTGTGTGTGGCTTGGCCTCAGGTCCCCAACAAACTCATTATACTCTCCATTGTTCAGGAATTCAGATGATTCCTGTTAAAACACAGGCAACAATATTTCACAATCTCAATAGTTTTTCTTTAAAAACAATGTGTAATGCAGGATTAGTAGAGTGCTTGACAGTCTCAGTAGTTGTACTGTTCTGGCACCTTCCAAAGTAAGTGTGAGCTGCATGCTGTACATCAGGGATTCCAGGCTGAAACCCTCATCTGCTGCTGCAGCAGCAGCATATGGTTTCTAAATAGCTGTCCCACTAACCTAGTTACATCCTCAAAAGCAACCAGAACTTTGATCCAAATGCCACTGGTAACACTGACCTGCCATCCCAATTAAAGCTATGGCATATATTGAGATTTTATGATTGAAGTACAAAACCCACTTGTACACCTGCCAGCCAGGTGCTGCTGCTCACTTTTCTTCTCTTTCTCTACTTCCAGGAGAACTTCCTTCCCTGGACTCTGATGTAAAAGTTCCATTTTACAGTCATGTCCTTCTCTCCTGCTTTCATAGCACAGTGTGTCTGGCACACCATTCCCTCCATCCCTCTGCAGGACCTTAGAAACAACATGGCAGGGAACCAGATGTGCCCAGGTGTGTGCACTGACTGAAAAGAAGCTCACAAAGATGTGCCTGTGCACCTGTGGCAGGTGGGTTCCTGTGCAGCTGAGCCAATCAAACAGCTGGTTCCTGGGACAAGGGTCCATTCCCAACTCCTGACCTCCTCTCTGTGCCATTGTGGATGAGTCCAGAAACCACAAATGTGGACACCTAAGGCAGCTTGGATGGGAAGAGAGAGGGAATGTGACCTGCCTTCTTGCTTAACTGTTAATTGTATCCCCTTACTCAGCCTTGTGCAGGTGCCCTAAGAACACAGAGCACAGCCACAGCCCTGCATGGAAGCAACACCATCATCCACTCATCTCAGAGTGGATTTCTTCTCTCTCCCCCAGACTGCTCCCTGCAGGATGTATAATTAATTCACCCACTTCAGCCACCTGATTTACAGGCAGGTAAGTGTTCCAGGCTGGTTCACACTGGATGTCTGTACTCTGTCCATGCCATGCAAGGAAAAACAGGCATGCCATTAAAATGGGCATTGCAATGGCAGGAAGCTCAGTGCACAGTGGGACTTTCCCTTTAGCAATGTCAGCTAGAAAATTTAACATTACTTTAGAGGCAGTTGCTGTTTTCAATGCTTGATCAAAGCATCTGCTCTGTACAAAAGCTTGGTCCTGCGAGAGGACCATTAATCACTTTTCCTGACAAAGGATAAATGTAGATGCAAGCAATGAAAGTTACTGCAACCAGCCATCTTCACTGGGCTAGAAAAACTCAACCTTACCTTAATGCTCTCTTCCTTAGGAGTAGTCGTGAAGGCTTAAATCTGATTGAGTTTCCTTTGGCAAAATCTGTGAAATAGGAAAAAAAAATCACATCAATTTGAAGATTCTGCAATAAATGGGGAACTTCTGGTACACTGGGTTTCCAAGCATAACCTTTTTCCCCTGCAAAAGACTCTGCAGAGGCCTTCTCTCCAAGCAAAGGAGCACCAGCTGGCATGCCCAAGATGGTGAAAAACCAAAGCTTTGCAAAAATGAGTTCAGACAGTAGACACATCAAAAGCATCAACACTTCATGGAGCTGCCATGTTCTATTCCTAATAGTTGTGGTGTAGCAATACAGCCTGAGGTGGTCATTTAAACTCACTGTTTCCCAGCTTATAATGTGGGCAATGGACATGTTTATGAAGCACTCTGCACACCAGAAATGCTGCAAGCAGCAAGAGCCTTTTTGGCTGCAGCCTGGCAATACTATAAAAGCTGCATATTCACTGAAGAAGCCAAGAGACATCCAGCTGAGCATCTGTTGCAACAGTATTACACCATCCATGACAGAAATGTTCCTGAAGATTGTCTACTGTTTGGAAGCTCCTTTTTTTTTTTTCTGAATAGCCTTACAACATGCATTTCACAGAAGAACTCACGTTTACACTGAGAGCAAAATTGCAGTCTTATGTTAAAGAGGCATGTAATACAAAGCCTCTGGGTTCCCAAAACTGTGTGAACCATAACAAGCAATGGACAATCTCCCCACCCTCTCCTAGATTAAACTTTTTAATTTCTGCACTCAAGTGCATCACCAGAGGGTCTAAATGATGACCAGTGGCAAGAGGGAACAGCGCTCCAAGCACCCTCTCCCTCCATTCAGGGAGGATGCAACCAAGACACCCCAGAGCTCTGCCAGCCAGGGAGCAGGTCCTGGTCTGGGACTGCTGTGCAAAACCACATGGAGCTACTGACAACTTACTCCCAATGAAAAATTGCCTTCCATCCCCATCTGTATTAAATCTACTACCCAAGACCCTACATTAATAAACAGTTGGTCACTGACACAGCAATCATTTTATTTTTCAAAACCAGACCTAGACTTTAGAACACAGTCCAGACTTTAGAACAATTCAGTTGCAGCTACACTCCTATTACTCTACCTCAGAGCTGAGATTTAACTATTTCAAGGAAGACCTAACTGCAAAAACAAGTTTTTTTGCTTATGCACAGTATTTTAAGTCTGGGTAGAATGTCTCTTATTGTTGCAGAAAGGGTTTAATGAAACTTATTATAGCTGACAATGTGGGTCTTAATTTAGAGAAGGTACATTTTGTCTGAGCATTTCAAAACTTCTTATCCTCTTCCATTTCCTTCTGCCATCTCTACAGGTATAAAAATTGAAAAAAAACTTTAAAAAAGTAACAGAAGAAAAGATGATTTTAACAACTTGATAAAGAAGTTAAAAATGTGCAAAAAGGCATTTTCTAGGCATCTGCTACAAGTCAGTGCAGATTTCAAGCAGCTATGATAATAGCAATCTTCAACTTTAATAGGCAACTTTTCCTGTTTTTGTTAACATTCATTTTCTCTTTCCATTAAGTGGGGAATAAAGCACATAGATTACACAAAAACATCTTGTTAGATCAAAACAGAATATTGTAAGAAAAACAGTGTGAATGGTATATAAATCATTATATTTTACACTACAGAATTAAAAAGAATACTCTGAGCCATATGGATCCTCTAAAAAGGCGAGATTTACATTACTTTGAGAGGACTGTGCACTAACTTCCAAAGCCCAGCTCAGCATCAGCTTAGCTAATCAGAACCAGGCATATCTTAAATTTATGGCTGTTCTAACAGGATGCAAACCATCCTAGAATTATTGGCACTGGAACAGCTGTCCACCATGAAAACCACAAGCAGACCACAGAGAAATTCTGCCTAGCCCAGCCAAAACTGGGGAGGGAATGTGAGAAGGGAAGAAAGGAGCCTGCATTGCTTCCCTGGGAGCAGAGAGGGAGAAGGGCTGCTAGGAGGGGCACATCAGCCAGTTTGGCTCTTGCACCCCTTAAACACATTCAGCAACATTCATACACACCACATCTTTAATGCCTCAAAATCATCTTAAAACTCTGCTGTGTTTCACAGGGGTGAGTCCCAATCTTCCCCCACATCCCAAACACAGAAAAACTTAGCAGACAATAAAATTCCATTACAGAGTTTTGATATTTTATGTATTTCCTCCTGTTCAAATTAAACACCATGTGGGGGGGATTAAAGTCCAATAAAACTTACTTACCACAATATGGAAGTCTTAAATACAAACACAGGAGGAAAAGTAAACAACTCTGAATCAAAAGACAATAAATATGCCCACAAAAGAAACATCAGTTTAGCAGAGTCTTAGTCAATGGTTAATTTAAAGATAAAAAAAACCACCCTCACGGTACTCTATAGACAGAAAAAAAACATTTACAACAGCATTTTGTTCTGCTTTTTACTGAAGAATTCTAAACATGTTCATAATCATATTATAGCAATTTAAAATATTTTTATTCAAAAATAAGAGTATCTTTACTGAAGTGTAAATCAGACTTGCTCACAAGTTTAACCATTTGTTCAGTCGAGTTCCTTCTCTCTTAGGCACAAACTACCCGATAAAACCACTATCTATAATTTAATATGTAAGAAATTTAAAATGAACAAGCTAAAAAGAAAAAGTAGCTATAACCTTCCAGCATTACTCAGTATATTTAAAGGCCCTAAGTCGGTGGCATGCTAAGCTAATTAAAAGATCCATCTAATCGGATCTTTCAAAAGTGTCCTTTAGGAAATAACAAAATAGCCTGGGTGACTAACTGCATACTGATTGCTAAAGTACCTAATGCAGCTGCAGGAGAGCCAGTCAAACAACATTTACACATGCAGACATACATATGAGAGATTAAACACACACAAACTGCATTTTCTCTTATCTGCTTGGAAGTCTTACCTTGCTCCTCAGAGTATTTAACATTTCCCAAATAGCTGGAGATCCAAGGATTTCTGAACATGGTTGCACAAACAAAGGATTCGGCAAAGAGAAACTACAATAGCAGCTAATTCTGAAGCAGGCACAGCCCTTAGGCCTGTCTTAGCAATATCGTGTAGAGATTTTTCATAGCACAGGACTGGAGCTGTCAGGCTCTGCGTCCCAGGGAGTACAGTAAATGCATAGCAATAGGCTGCAAGCCGGAGCAGCTCAAGCCAGTAATCAGATTACGAACAGAAATTAGGCACATGAATGCTAAAACAGATTGGGCAGTGGTGATTGGGAGATTTATAATATTACCACTTCAAAGATCCAGCCAAATTGCACATTATATTCCTGCAAAACGAATGCAGAACCCCTGAATTCTCATATTAAGAAACCAACCAAACAAAAAAACCCCCAACAACAACAGAAAAAATGTCGAGAAGAGGAATAATTCCTTCATATCTCTAATCAGGATAAACTGCAGTGCTTATTTAAGAGAAACAGCACCCAGGCTGCCAAAAAATGGACTCTGATAATCACAGCATTATGCTTAAATGTTTTGCCTAACTATTAGTTGGAACATTTAAAATAGTCAAGATTTATGGATAACATATGAGCAAAATTACTGGTGGGGGTAGGGATTTAAGAACAGACACCACAGCTCCAAATATTTTAATTCGAGACAGAAGGTGAAAAATTGCACTAAAGTACTGTCTAGCTACCTTTTTTTTTTATTAAACAGATTTGATGGATTTTGGATTGAAGAGCTGGAACCCTTTTAGCTAATTTTGAGAGTCTGGAAATATTTGTTTGCAATGGTGCAATAACCCTGGCTTAGTCGCTCACACTGAACTACCTGATGGTCTAACACAGACACAAAGAAGCATTAAATGTGTGATTGAAACAGGTCCATGCACTTAACCCCATCCAAACAGATAGAGAAGTCTATCAGCTTCCCTCCAACAGACTTCTTCCCTTCCAAAAGATTTTAGCTACTATCAGTATCAGGCTAAGAGAGATGGGGTGGTCCAGCATGGAAGAGGTTCCAGAGAGACCTTAGCACACCTTCCAGTACTTAAAGGTGGCCACAAGAGAGCAGGAAAGGGACTTTACAAGGACCTGTAGATAGGACAAGGTGTAATGGCTTTAAGCTGAAGAGGGGTAAGTTTGGATATGAGGAAGAAATTCTTTATTGTGGGGGTGGTGAGGCCCCTGGAACAGGTTGTCCAGAGAAGCTGTGAATTGCCCCATCCCTGGAAGTGCTGAAGGCCATGCTGGATGGGGCTTTGAGCAACCTGATCTGGTGAAAAGTGCCCCTGGCAGGGGGGTTGGAATGAGATGTCTTAAAGGTCCCTTCCTTTCCAAACCATTCTATCATTCTATGTGTAGAAAACTCTCCACAGGATTGGGGTTGTCAGGACCATGAAAAGGCAGACTAGAAACACAAGTTTGTGACTATTGAAGTTCTTGACTATTCTTACCTGTTTTTTTGATGCCTGGTACAACAGAACCCTGATCTATGCTGGGAAAGGTACAGACAAGATATGAACAATGATGCTGTGAAAGACTGCAAAACCACGAGTGAAAAACATACTCTATCAAAAACCTATTAATGGCTGTTGGCTCATCATGAAGTTGTATTTAGCCTATCTAGGTCATCAAAACACTGCTCTTTATGCTAACAAGTTACTGCAATGGATAGAAGAACATGCATTCCATCTTGTCTAATGCACCTGATATTTGTATTAATATATTTATTTTTAAAAACATAAATCATGTTGGAGTCAACCTAATCAAAGCACCCTTTCTTAGCTGATCTTTCAACAGTCCAGAGCTCCCTGGAACAACAGTCACCCAACACAAGGAATAAGGCCTTGAAGCCTCTGACTCATCAAGTAACCTTCTCTGTTCAGAAATATTTGATGGTACATACCATGTTTCTTTTCTTTGCCTGTAACCTTGCCACCTCTCATGTTTAATTCTAACCACTCCCAGCACTACCAACAGAATACAAACCAACACTGCTGTGCACTCCTGACCAGCTGTGAAGTCCTCCATGTAC